TAACAAACAAAATGTGAATGGGACCAGCGGCACATCATTTTTACTATCGCATTCTAAAATTTAAAATTTTGTCAAACTGAGGGATGCTACAAATCCATGGCTAAGAGCATAAGTCTAAAACTCAAATTCTTTCTTAACCATCGATATAAGTGCTATCTCCAGGCGATTTCCCTTAAAATGATCTAAAAAGATGGAAACGGTGGCCAAGAAAAGGGACAGAAAAGTACAGATTCGAGGGGAAAACCACCGGATCGTGGTAAGCAGTGTTCTGCGGATGCCGGGGAGCTGTCGAAGCATCAGCAGCGGCGTGGCGGCCAGCAGTTGAGCTTCCTCGGTGCTTTGGTAGCGCAAAGTGCCCTTCGCAGGTTTCTGGCTCCTCACAAGGGCCTCTTCAGCAAGCTCAGTTGTCGTCGTTTCAGCCGCCTTTGTGAGCGACAATTTCCTTTACGGATGCATTAATTTGGATGAATCTTAATAAATGCACAAAAGAGTTAGTGGGCCTTTAATGAAAAGGTCCCTTGGTATTTGCACCACATTATTAAATTACAATCAGAATAAAATTCATTCCATCATACGTCAGATTTCACTGTGGTGCTTGAATATTTACTGTTCGGCTTTACCTTAATTCTGAAAATAGGGAAGCAGCATAGAATTGTTTTAGTTATTGTAAACATGGAAAAAATTTACCCAATTTTAGCGGGAGCAAGTAGAACTAAGCTTGAAATAGAATGAGATCAATTTGTTAAAAGTAAAATAAACGATTTTATGTGATTAAATTCGGGTGATAAACAAAATCTTCTTTTGATATCCGCCTATTCCAGCTGCGACCATTACATAGCTGAATCGTTCAACACAACAGCGTAGCTGTAAGGAGTTATAGGAAGCTGCAGTAGTAAGACAAAACATATATTAACATCATACAAAGGGCAAAAGAAGGGCTATTGTAACGATCCAAAGGCCATGCGGCCGTCAAAGTACAATATGCGGAGACTTGGGTGCTCGCATGGTGAGATACCAAGTTAAACCAGCTGCGAAAGCGTCACAACACTGCCTTGATTTATAAAGCCGTATGTAGTTGTTGTATGTTTGCTATACAAAAGTCAACTTGAGTGTAGGAAAAGCAGGAACATCACGGTTATCAGAGAAATTATCCAGTGTGTCGTATGGAGGGACTTCAAATCCTTTGGATGTCGCAGTATCTATCTGTCGACTTCTCGTTGATCTCTATCAACCAAAGGCAGGAAAAATGCATGGAATTTTAAAATTTTAAATAATTCTACATACTTCTAAGTCACATTTAACCATAACATTGACGTTCTGGATATTATTTGAATCTTCTTTACTTCTGTTTCAAGTTTACTTAAGCATTTGAAAAGGACTACAGTATAAAAAGTTTAAATGACCAGCATTAAAATGAGTAAGCAAAAATGACACTGGTATTTATTGAAGATTTGGTAAGAACGCATTAGTTCTTTTGCCGTTTGCAGCCACAGGCCCAGATGGACTGTTTCGTTTGGCCCTTCATACGAACCCACATATCAGTTAGGCCCCTTGAAGCCCTTCATTCCGCATAAAGTACTGCCTGTTGTGAAGGAAGTCGTACTCGAGATCGTCGACCGCGCCTTCAAACGCGCTGACGATGTGGACGCCGGCGGTCTGGCGGTAAACCTCTCAAACGCTGTGCGTATTGCTGTCAGGGATTTGGGACTCCCCAGGTGAGGGCCTTACTAAATTGCTGCCGGATTCTTTGCACGAGCGTTGTTGCCGATTTTTCTCGTGGTCACGCTTCTACTTTGGTAATAACAATACTTCCTGTTAATTTTTCAAAACTGGAAGATATTATCAAAGGCAATAAGATAACTTTTTTGTCAGAGAATAAAGTTGCTAAGTCCACTAGTGGTATTAAGCACCACGGAGTTGATTGAAATGCCTGAATATAGCGTCCTTGGCAAGGAAAGCAGTATTGGAATGGAGACGTTTGACATTTGTCGCCAAATGCCGGACTGTGGTCTATAGTGAAGCTATTTTACATACCTTTTGCATTTCGCTGCAACAGTTGTCTGAATGCAACAAGAGGAAGGAAACCTCATGCTCTTATACTTAATCACTTCTTTAAGGTCGAAATACATCTGCTAGAAGTAGGGTCAACTCAAAGTCATTAGCATTCAAGTATTCCTTCTTCACTTTGTCTTTGCTGGTTCGACCTTTGTACAGGAGTTGTTTTACTTCTGAAATCCAAATAAGATCCCCAGGCAACTCAATCAAAATTGCCATTACTTTGGATCGGAATTTCTTGGCGCTGCTGCAATCGCAGCTTGACACATCCATGAGGATGGAAGAGGTCACAACATTATAAAGTATTATGGCCGTGTGAAAGGGCTAGAGGACTACAGTTATTCATAGAACGGACCAAAACATGGATCATTTCCCCAGAATAATGCTGCGGATTATTCTGTGATCCGGCTTTCTCTCGTCCACGTTTTTTAAGTTATTTTTCTAACTTGATTAAGACCATTAAAGGTCCCATCTAATATTTCTTCTTTGACACTGCTCATGTCACCTTCATTGGTACCAAGATAGAATTAAGAGGCTACGTATGAAGACTTCACCTGGTTGTCTAAAGTCGGACAATAACTAAGTACGCTTTAATTGGAACCAAGTAAAGATGTATCCCATGAGGTTTAACTAGAGAGTTAAAATAGAAGGATCACACTAACATGGAAGCATAAAAGCGGCCGAAGTGTCGAACTATTCAACTGCTGTCTTCGCCTCGAGACGCTTGAATGAGATTTGGAAATAGGCATATCGCAGTTTTTTGGCACAACACAGAAGTGGTACATCAATCTACCCACTTAACTCCAAATGCACTCAGCATTCAAGCAAAATCTCACCACTTTACAGGGTGCAGAACCCTCTCTGTAAACAATAGCGATGCTTTTGACTAAGATCATCTACTGATTTCGATACTTTCATTGAAAAATCTGAAAATATTACATGAACAATAAAAAACTGCTACCGAAAGTAATCTTCCTAATACCTAAGACTTGGACGAAAATCCTCATCTAAATGACCATGCTTAGGTTCAAGTACGTGGTTTACACAGCAGTGACGAGAGATAGCGGTCAATCAATGTTGGCAGTGTCAAGGGCCTTGTGGAACCCCAAGTTCGACCGTCAAGTCGCCATCGAGCATCGGAGAGACAAGTATATCATACATGTTATCGTTTTTGCCTGCTACCACGACTGAATGCGAACTACAGACAGCTACTTATGGAATAAAATGCTACTATATGCCCTCTACTTTTTCCCCCTCCCTGTTACCTACTTATTTCATTACTGTCCAGCGTCTACTTAATTCTATTCAGCGACCGAAAGCGTACGAATCAACTCAGCAAAAAATCCACATACAACAGATCCATAAGGAACACTTCATAACCGTTTCAGTCTAAAGGCGCCTCAGTTTCATAATTAATTGACTCAAAAACTCCTGAGAAGCACCCTTTCGTTTGTTATGTTATAAATTGGTACCTAGCCAACGAAAACAAAGTTTGTTTGCTAGACTTGAGTTGGCTTATCCCTTTCCTCAAAGGAGAAAAGGAGTAAATCTACTTAAAGAAATAAAACTCAGTACCAAATGTAATCAAAATTTTGCCGATTTTCTAAATACCTACAGATAAAACTATATTTGAACGTCGGTAAAACGGTTCTAGATTATAACAAACAAAATGTGAATGGGACCAGCGGCACATCATTTTTACTATCGCATTCTAAAATTTAAAATTTTGTCAAACTGAGGGATGCTACAAATCCATGGCTAAGAGCATAAGTCTAAAACTCAAATTCTTTCTTAACCATCGATATAAGTGCTATCTCCAGGCGATTTCCCTTAAAATGATCTAAAAAGATGGAAACGGTGGCCAAGAAAAGGGACAGAAAAGTACAGATTCGAGGGGAAAACCACCGGATCGTGGTAAGCAGTGTTCTGCGGATGCCGGGGAGCTGTCGAAGCATCAGCAGCGGCGTGGCGGCCAGCAGTTGAGCTTCCTCGGTGCTTTGGTAGCGCAAAGTGCCCTTCGCAGGTTTCTGGCTCCTCACAAGGGCCTCTTCAGCAAGCTCAGTTGTCGTCGTTTCAGCCGCCTTTGTGAGCGACAATTTCCTTTACGGATGCATTAATTTGGATGAATCTTAATAAATGCACAAAAGAGTTAGTGGGCCTTTAATGAAAAGGTCCCTTGGTATTTGCACCACATTATTAAATTACAATCAGAATAAAATTCATTCCATCATACGTCAGATTTCACTGTGGTGCTTGAATATTTACTGTTCGGCTTTACCTTAATTCTGAAAATAGGGAAGCAGCATAGAATTGTTTTAGTTATTGTAAACATGGAAAAAATTTACCCAATTTTAGCGGGAGCAAGTAGAACTAAGCTTGAAATAGAATGAGATCAATTTGTTAAAAGTAAAATAAACGATTTTATGTGATTAAATTCGGGTGATAAACAAAATCTTCTTTTGATATCCGCCTATTCCAGCTGCGACCATTACATAGCTGAATCGTTCAACACAACAGCGTAGCTGTAAGGAGTTATAGGAAGCTGCAGTAGTAAGACAAAACATATATTAACATCATACAAAGGGCAAAAGAAGGGCTATTGTAACGATCCAAAGGCCATGCGGCCGTCAAAGTACAATATGCGGAGACTTGGGTGCTCGCATGGTGAGATACCAAGTTAAACCAGCTGCGAAAGCGTCACAACACTGCCTTGATTTATAAAGCCGTATGTAGTTGTTGTATGTTTGCTATACAAAAGTCAACTTGAGTGTAGGAAAAGCAGGAACATCACGGTTATCAGAGAAATTATCCAGTGTGTCGTATGGAGGGACTTCAAATCCTTTGGATGTCGCAGTATCTATCTGTCGACTTCTCGTTGATCTCTATCAACCAAAGGCAGGAAAAATGCATGGAATTTTAAAATTTTAAATAATTCTACATACTTCTAAGTCACATTTAACCATAACATTGACGTTCTGGATATTATTTGAATCTTCTTTACTTCTGTTTCAAGTTTACTTAAGCATTTGAAAAGGACTACAGTATAAAAAGTTTAAATGACCAGCATTAAAATGAGTAAGCAAAAATGACACTGGTATTTATTGAAGATTTGGTAAGAACGCATTAGTTCTTTTGCCGTTTGCAGCCACAGGCCCAGATGGACTGTTTCGTTTGGCCCTTCATACGAACCCACATATCAGTTAGGCCCCTTGAAGCCCTTCATTCCGCATAAAGTACTGCCTGTTGTGAAGGAAGTCGTACTCGAGATCGTCGACCGCGCCTTCAAACGCGCTGACGATGTGGACGCCGGCGGTCTGGCGGTAAACCTCTCAAACGCTGTGCGTATTGCTGTCAGGGATTTGGGACTCCCCAGGTGAGGGCCTTACTAAATTGCTGCCGGATTCTTTGCACGAGCGTTGTTGCCGATTTTTCTCGTGGTCACGCTTCTACTTTGGTAATAACAATACTTCCTGTTAATTTTTCAAAACTGGAAGATATTATCAAAGGCAATAAGATAACTTTTTTGTCAGAGAATAAAGTTGCTAAGTCCACTAGTGGTATTAAGCACCACGGAGTTGATTGAAATGCCTGAATATAGCGTCCTTGGCAAGGAAAGCAGTATTGGAATGGAGACGTTTGACATTTGTCGCCAAATGCCGGACTGTGGTCTATAGTGAAGCTATTTTACATACCTTTTGCATTTCGCTGCAACAGTTGTCTGAATGCAACAAGAGGAAGGAAACCTCATGCTCTTATACTTAATCACTTCTTTAAGGTCGAAATACATCTGCTAGAAGTAGGGTCAACTCAAAGTCATTAGCATTCAAGTATTCCTTCTTCACTTTGTCTTTGCTGGTTCGACCTTTGTACAGGAGTTGTTTTACTTCTGAAATCCAAATAAGATCCCCAGGCAACTCAATCAAAATTGCCATTACTTTGGATCGGAATTTCTTGGCGCTGCTGCAATCGCAGCTTGACACATCCATGAGGATGGAAGAGGTCACAACATTATAAAGTATTATGGCCGTGTGAAAGGGCTAGAGGACTACAGTTATTCATAGAACGGACCAAAACATGGATCATTTCCCCAGAATAATGCTGCGGATTATTCTGTGATCCGGCTTTCTCTCGTCCACGTTTTTTAAGTTATTTTTCTAACTTGATTAAGACCATTAAAGGTCCCATCTAATATTTCTTCTTTGACACTGCTCATGTCACCTTCATTGGTACCAAGATAGAATTAAGAGGCTACGTATGAAGACTTCACCTGGTTGTCTAAAGTCGGACAATAACTAAGTACGCTTTAATTGGAACCAAGTAAAGATGTATCCCATGAGGTTTAACTAGAGAGTTAAAATAGAAGGATCACACTAACATGGAAGCATAAAAGCGGCCGAAGTGTCGAACTATTCAACTGCTGTCTTCGCCTCGAGACGCTTGAATGAGATTTGGAAATAGGCATATCGCAGTTTTTTGGCACAACACAGAAGTGGTACATCAATCTACCCACTTAACTCCAAATGCACTCAGCATTCAAGCAAAATCTCACCACTTTACAGGGTGCAGAACCCTCTCTGTAAACAATAGCGATGCTTTTGACTAAGATCATCTACTGATTTCGATACTTTCATTGAAAAATCTGAAAATATTACATGAACAATAAAAAACTGCTACCGAAAGTAATCTTCCTAATACCTAAGACTTGGACGAAAATCCTCATCTAAATGACCATGCTTAGGTTCAAGTACGTGGTTTACACAGCAGTGACGAGAGATAGCGGTCAATCAATGTTGGCAGTGTCAAGGGCCTTGTGGAACCCCAAGTTCGACCGTCAAGTCGCCATCGAGCATCGGAGAGACAAGTATATCATACATGTTATCGTTTTTGCCTGCTACCACGACTGAATGCGAACTACAGACAGCTACTTATGGAATAAAATGCTACTATATGCCCTCTACTTTTTCCCCCTCCCTGTTACCTACTTATTTCATTACTGTCCAGCGTCTACTTAATTCTATTCAGCGACCGAAAGCGTACGAATCAACTCAGCAAAAAATCCACATACAACAGATCCATAAGGAACACTTCATAACCGTTTCAGTCTAAAGGCGCCTCAGTTTCATAATTAATTGACTCAAAAACTCCTGAGAAGCACCCTTTCGTTTGTTATGTTATAAATTGGTACCTAGCCAACGAAAACAAAGTTTGTTTGCTAGACTTGAGTTGGCTTATCCCTTTCCTCAAAGGAGAAAAGGAGTAAATCTACTTAAAGAAATAAAACTCAGTACCAAATGTAATCAAAATTTTGCCGATTTTCTAAATACCTACAGATAAAACTATATTTGAACGTCGGTAAAACGGTTCTAGATTATTTCGCAAAAAGATAATCCAGCAGATCTGAAGAAAAAAAATGCAAATGTGATAAGTGGATAATTTACAGGCAAAAGGATAAATAGTAGGACTATCAATTAGTTTAAAATACGCAACTTCGCCAATGCTAC